GCTGCCGCCTGTGTCTGCCTGGCTCTGCAAGTGTCCCAGCTACCTATGTCTGTACATCATGATTTTTAAGGAGGGAAACAAAACAAAACCAAAAAAGTGTTGATGAGTCCTAGATACATTTCAGGTAATTTTTGTCTTGTTTAAAAAGTTTGCCGTACTTTTCAGCCACTAAAATTGCTCCAAAAAGGATCAGCAATGTTTTTCCCATTGGAGCATACTGCAGAGCCCCTATGGACACTGGCTGTAATAGAAATGGCTCCCATTGCCTGTAAATGCCCACATGACAGCCAGCTTGGATTATATCTGGATATCCCAGATTTAAATTCAACTACTTTCCTTTCCTCCTGGCCAATTCAAGCATGATTTCAATTAAACCTTATCCTGTGCTTTGTTTGCACCCTGCATCCTGCAGTCTGGCTCTTGCCCTGCTCCTGGTGGCACTGCGGGCTTGGACCTGCACCCTGCTTGCGGTGAGGGGGGACATCTCTGCAGCAAGAGCCCCTTATTTAAATGCAGCTGGTGCTCTTGTTTGGGGGACATTGAAATAAAGCAGCTTTGCAGAGCACCACACTTTGAGCATTTGTGTGCAGAGCTGGCATTTAACCTCAGCATTGTGTTTTTTCATGTTCTCCCTCATACATGCAGCACGTATCTGTAAATTCATCTCAGGGTTTCACCCTAATGATACTGGCAAGAACCACATTCTTAGGTCTTTGTAGTTGTTTCAAAGCAAGAAGTGGTATTTGCTTTTGCTATCCCCATGTGCTCACTTGCAAGCTGTCAGCTCACAAGGTCCGTTTTTTGCCACCTCACTCGCGTGCATTGTGCTTGGCTTTTCAGCATCCCTTCGTCAGCAAGGTGACCAGCAACCGGGCCCTGCGTGAGCTGGTGGCCGAGGCCAAGGCCGAGGTGATGGAAGAGATCGAGGACAGTCGGGACGAAGCAGAAGAAGATGACTCATCAGAGTCTGCCTCGGTGAGCGCCCCTGGCCCTGTGCTGGTGTTTGCCAGTCTGGCTGTGGTGGGGGAAAGAGCCTAGCAACTTTTCTAGGCTCCAAAATGTTGGTTTACAGCTGTTCTGGGCCCCATCAGGTGAAGGGTGAAGCAGTTGCTTGGCCAGGGAGAGGCTGGTTTTCAGTGACTGCCAAGGGCATGGAGAATCAATGATGCTGGTGCGTGGCCCAGCTGCTTGCTTGCAGGGCAGGCTTGCAAAAACATTTAAAAAATAATTAAAAAAAAAAAAAGTGAAAAGTAGACCCTGTTGCAGGCTGGAGAAGCTGGAGTGGAAGCATCACCAGCAGCATGGGGTGCAGTGGTGAGGCACCACCAGTCCTAGGAGGGAGCTGGGCAACTGTGCCCCTGAGCTAGGCTTTTGGCAGGGCCCATCCCAAGGCTGCCTGGGCAGCTTTGCTGGGGGATACACCTTGACCCCCCTCATCTGTGACAAAGGGCAGTGATTAATCCACAGGAAAAGGTGTTTGCTATGCAAGGTCCTAGGCTGCCTCTTAAGAATTTGCAGGTTCTGGAGCTCCCCCGTTGTGCTGTTTCCTTCCAGCCAGCGTCCATAGTCCTTGGGACCACAAAACTGGAGAAAGATAGAAGTATCCCAGGGCGGATGTCCCAGAAGGGAAGATTTCCTCCCAATACCTCTTTTGCTGTGGGTGACTTTGCTCTGATGTGTGGGCACTTGCAGCTCTTGTAGTTGTGTTAAAGCGGTGGTGCAAAAACCAACATTTTCCCTTCGCTGTCTTTCCAGCCCCCTGGGAAGCACAAGCGAGATCCCTCCGAGGCAAGTCAGCTGAGTTTTGATGGGGAGAAGCCTCTGGACTCTTCCTTGCCCAAGGCAGTGAACGGGCCTGTGGGGCCTAGCAAGGAGACTGCAAATGGACAGAGCAATAAGGTCTCAGATGAAGGGATAAGCAGTGACAATGACAAACTGGATAGCAACCACTCCACCAAAAGCCTTGCCAGCTCTGCCACCTTGGCCACCCAAGGCAAACCAGACATCATCTTGCAGCCCAGACACCTGGGTAACTCAACAGAGGGGGACAAGCAGCCCAGGTTATGCAGCAAGGAGCGGAAGAGCATTGGGGAGCAACCGGAGAGCGGCCACCTGGAGAACTTCACGGAGGAGAAGCTTGTCAATGGGAGCTTGGACCCCCCAGCTCCATTCCCCAGCAGCCGGCCCAAAGGGGATTCAGATTCTGGCAGCACTTCAGCTTCTGAAAGCATGGACCTCACCATCTCCCTGTCTGCTGACCTGTCCCTCAACAGAGAAAGCGGCTCCATCTCCCTGAAGGTGAGTGATGGGCAGAGAGTGTGGAGAAGGAAGGGCAGCAAACCCCTGTTAACAAGGGCTGAGGGTTTTTTTCCCTTCTTAGGCAAGTTCCTGAAATTGAGATCCTTTCCTTGAGAGGGTGTGCACATGCAGGCTTTCTGGAGGCTGGGAATGGTTGCGAGCCAGGGCTGACCAGGTCAGCATGGCTTAGAGTAAGAGGCAAAATAACTGGAATGGTATTTGCTGAGCTTCAGAAGAAGAAATGTGTGTGACTTGAGAGGGTGGAGTGATATGTTGCACAAGATCTTTATCCAAGTGCCTGCATGAGTGATAGCTTCCTGGCACAGAAACATGCCCGAAAACCATTCTTGGCAAACCTTTCCTCCCCTCCCATCTCCCGCTGTGAGCGTGAGAGCCAGCATCCCCTGCAGGAGCCCACAATCAATGTGGATCCCTAATGAGGGAAGTGTGATGCTCTTGCATAGCAATTCACCCCTCCTCACTGCCTTTCCCATGACACCTGGTCACTTTGAGGCCAGCCAAAGATGAATATGATGCCACGTGTAGAATTGCTCTCCCCAGTTGGGTCCCCAAGATGGGGAAAGGAGTTTTTTGGGATTTACAAGGAGTAAGTCTCAAAGAGATGGTCATGTTAGGTCATGGTTTGAATTGCCCCAGCTAGAGGCAATGATCAGAACAAATGCCATCTCTCCGAGCAAGGTGTTCAAGCAGAGCTGTCTTCCAGGAGTGATGCTGCTGAAGGGCCCTGGGAAAGATACTCTGCTGCCGTCCCTGCTGTGCACAAGGAGGTGTGGAGGGCCCCAGGCTGTGCTGTCCTCTCCTCACCCAGGCTCCTTGCCCAGCTTTAGCTTCATGGGGTTAAACTCCCCTGCTCTGCCCTTGCTTGTGGTGCTGGTGCTGCTGGGTTGCATGCACAGGTGCCAGGCAGGTTGCAGCAAGAGAAGGGGAAGCAAAGAGTTAAACCAGTTCTGGTTGTAAACATTAACTATTACATTTTTTTATCACAGGCTAAACTGCAAAGTTATTTTATTACCAGCTTCTCTTTCCAGTTGCTTATAGTTTAGTCCAAGAAGTTTCCAGTTGCATATAGTTTAGTCCAGTTTATGTTCTTCACTAACGATGGCATCAAAATTGCTCTGAGGCTTCCAGCTATAACACCCCATGCAACAAGCCAGGGAACAGCTTCATGGCCTCCTCCTTTCCTCCCCTGCCAAACGCAGGATTCCCGGATGCACAAGAAGACGCTGAAACGCACCCGCAAGTTTGTGGTGGATGGAGTAGAGGTGAGCGTCACCACCTCAAAGATCATCAGTGAGGATGAAAAGAAGGATGAAGAGATGCGATTTCTCAGGCAAGTGGGTCACTGGGATGGAAGGAGGGCAGGGCAGGGTTTTCTTCTCCACAAGCAAATCCAGGAGCGACCTGAAGTCCTCCCAGTTTCTGTCTTGGTCCCACTTGACAGGACAGCTGTCCAGTGTGGACATCACTTCCTTTAGCCGTTCCTTGTCTGGGCTCACTGTGCCACACACACTGAGCTCTGTTTGCATGCAGGGGAATGAGGGATGCATCTCAGGGATAAGATGCAGCAAGGCTGGGATGAGGGAAGCTTGTGTGGATGCCTCTGTCCCCTGGAGATGACTGAATGTGTCTCTAGGGCCGTAGATGTGCAGGCTCAATGGAAATAATCACAGAAATCTTCTCAAGATCCTCCTCTTCGTCTTGTTCTTGTCTCTCCTCTGACTTCATTAACAGAAAGGCCAAGGGAGTCGTAAACTCCTTGAGCATCACTTAATATTCATGGGTGTATCCTCCCTGTGTAAGCCTTTATGACTCCTTTGTGGATCTTGCAGCTTTCAAACTTCCATGACCTATTCTCAGGGAGAGAAACTGCTGTTTCTAGCTCTGTTACTATCAGTAGAAGCACTGAAATGAAAAAGCCCTTAAAATAATTAAAATTGTTTTTTCGCTTGAATCCCTATCCTAGGCTCTCTGGTGCTGCTCTGAGGGACTCACTGAGCATATCATCTGTCCCAAGCACTGTGTGTTCCTGCAGCAGCGTTATTCGTAGACCCTAATATCAGATCTATGTGGAATCTCATTAACAACTCATTTTTGTGTGAGAAGTGCATATAACCCCAGTAAAACACAAGAAGCATGCTTCAAGTGTACAAGGAATTTGCAGGCACAGCTGCTTTCTCCTGGTCCACTCTCGGGTGTGGTGGCATCATTAGAAAGAGGGTCTTTTTAAATTTTTAAATACTGCCCACTCCGTATCTGTGAGGTGAGGGGAGAAACAGAAATGCTTGAGTTGGAAAGCATTGAGTCCCTGAACACCTTTTGGAAGAAGTGGTTATTCCCTTGGGACAAACTAGCGGGCACGATCAGCTCTCCTGGCATCTTGATTTGCACTTAAGGGGCTTGTTTCTGGCTTTTTGGAACGTGCCAACGTATTGATTTGAAGGCAAGATCAGAAGAGAGCACATCATGCTGCACCAGCTGATTTAATGGGGCTTGAGTTTGTTTTGAAAGAAGAAATCGTTCCAAAGTGCTTTTCCCAGGAGGGCCCCTGGAGAGGGTTGTACTCTGTGTAATGCACAGCAGCAGAGGTCACTGTGGGAAAACTGCTGCTGATGGTCCTCTTGCATGGTCCAGCAGTGATTTCTAGCTCAATCAGGCGCAAACATGGCAAACAGGCTGAAACGCAGCTGTCTGAGCAGAGGTTTCCTCTCACTGAATGTGAAGCTGGATGAGGGGAGTGATGTGTTGTCGTTGTAGATAGAGCAGTTTTCCCAAATTCTGACCTTTCTGACACATAGGCGTGAGCAAGAAGGGGTGCGGAGCACAGGGGCCAGGCCAAGGCAACACAAGCTATGTTTCAAAGCCCAGTGTGTGCTAACCCAGCGGGCAGAACCAGGTATTTTGGGTGCTGACTTGGAGAGTGGTGCCTGGAGCATCACCTTGGGAGCTTTGACAGGGCTTGTTTGAGGAACTGTAAATGCTAATAGGCCCTACCTGTGAAAACTGATGGTTTGCCAGTGGCTAATGTAATTAGCATCCTGCTTCCTCGAAGTGCTCTGGTGTCACAGAGCCTGAGAGCACATCAGTCAGTTGGCATTTACCTCCTGCCTGTAGTGGCAGGGCACTGTGGGATGGCCGTGCAGCTTTCATTCCCTGCTGAAGTGCTCTGGTCATTGATTCTGCCATCTCTGCTCAGGCCCATGCCTCTGAACTTGTCTGACTCGGTATTTGTCTCTGCCTCCGTTTTAACCTTCTGCAGGCGCCAGGAGCTGCGGGAGCTGCGTCTCCTTCAGAAGGAGGAGCACCGAAACCAGGCACAGCTCAACAGCAAGCACCAGCTGCAGCTGGAGCAGATGCTCAGGCGCTTTGAGCAGGAGATGACGGTGCGTGAACAGGCAGGGGGATGCTCCTGGGTCTGGGCTGGTTTGACTTTTCCTCCGCAGACACCTGGCCAACCTGTGCACAGGGCAATGCTCTCTGGGTTGCAGCAGTCCTGGGACATCGTGTCTGCAGGGAGAGGGACAGCAGAGAAAGCCCTTTGGGTTTCAAGGGATGGGATGTGTTTGTGGAGGATGGAGACTTTGTGGGCATTAAGCACATGCAGGCTGCAGCTTGGGAAGCAGTGACTGCCATTGCCTGGCTTGGTGAAGCAAGGGAAGGGTCGTTCTGGTCTTTTGGTCTTTAATGATCTTTTCTTGTGTGTCTGTTCATGGCTGCTGTGAGAAGCAGTTCAATGTGCTGCTTTATTTCAAAAAAGCTGCTTAAAAAGAAAGCAGTATGGTCAGGGTGTGAGAGAGGAAAACTGGCAAGTCTTTGAGCGTAAATTGAATAAACTGGGCTTACATACTTAATCCCTCCATGGGAAGCTTAGATGGAAATAAAATTATTTTGTAGATAAGTCCCTTTAAAGCTTTCATGAGCCCTCTTTTAAATACCCCTTTACTAATTCACCTGCTGTGTGCGCCTGGTTGCCCCATCCCCTTGCAGCAGGCTGGGAGCCACCACTCATCCTTGTGTTCTGTTATATTTCTAAAGTCTCGACGTGCCACGTCTGTGAATTTCCATCATAGCAAGTCACTTCCCATTTGTGAGATTTATTCTCCGTGTGCCATGTGCAAAAGCCCCAAACCCTGCTTCCTCTCCCTTTCTCTGTGCTCCCGTTGACACCCAGGTGCTCTATCCCTGCTGCTTGCGGGGAGGGAGAGATCGGACACAAGGGCGTTGTTGCAGTGCACCACCTTCAGACTTGGAAATCCTCGTCTGTTGCTCTATCCTAGCTAAAAACCAGCACTCTGCATAGAAAGAACTGTTATGCTTGAGCTTCACTGACTTTTAATATTTGCCCAGGGCTGTGGGTCCCAGTGGGATGTTGCAGATCAGGATGTAAGCAAGGAAAAAGGGCTGAAATGCAAATTCAAAAACGCTTTGTGCTCACACTAGAGCTGGCTCTGCTCTGTGTGCTTCATGGGGCGTTAGTTGGAAATTTCTGTCCTGTGTGGAGTAAAGAGGCTCAATTCATGCAAGGACAAATCCTCCGCACCCCCCTTTTTTTTTTTCTTTCTTTAAACTTTTGGAAGGAAATGAAGTGCAGAGGAGGCAGAGGTTGACCTCTGTTCCCTTCCCATACAGACAAAGAAGAAGTTCTATGACACTGAGCTGGAAAACCTGGAGCGGCAGCAGAAGCAGCAGATTGAGAAGATGGAACAAGATCACTCGCTGCGCAGGCGGGAGGAGGCCAAGCGCATTCGCCTGGAGCAGGAGCGGGAGCACGTCAAATTCCTGGAGCAGCTGAAGCAGATGAAGAAGGAGGTAAAAATGGGGATAGGATGGGGGAAAGCTGGTTTCCTGCATCTGCTTCTTGCAGGAAAGCATCATCACTTGTCCATAGCAGATCTTGAGGGAAGCAGTTGTTGGCTTTTTAGCAGGAAGCTCTGGGTTTTCTGTGGTATACTTGGGTGTTTCCGGAGGTCCATCTGTTTAGCAACATTGGGCGGGCTTGTTTTTGGCTGAAAAGTACCTGCTGACAAACCTCCTTTCCCTTCCCAAAGGTCAAGAACGAGGTTGAGAAGCTGCCACGGCAGCAGCGCAAAGGGAACATGAAGGTGAAGATGGATGATTTCGCCCAGAAAAAACAAACCATGGTAAGGCTGAGAGAAGGTTGCCACAATCCCAAGATTGGGAAGCACATAGTAGACAGAAGCATGCTTCCTCCTTGAGGGATTGGCAAGTTTTGAAATGCCATCAGATGCTTTTCAAGTTGCAGCAGAAGGAGGGCTGATGGTGGTACTGCTGTTTTCTTCCAGGAACAGGAGTTTTTGGCTAAGCAGAAGGAGGACCTGGAGCTTGCCATGAAGAATATAACTGCCCAGAACAAGAAAGAGATCTGTGACAAGGAACGCGAGTGCCTGAACAAAAAGCAGCAGCTCATGAGAGGTGGGTGGCAGAGGCTGAAAAGGAGGAAAGCAAATGCTGTAACCATGGGTTTATCCAACGCTGGCTCTTCCCACACAACAGATGCTGTGACAGAGTTGCAAGCTGGCAGGATGAGATTTAGAAAAAACAGCCTTGCCAGATCCTGTCTAAATGTTTAACAATAATAATACTTAGTGCTTTAATCTTCAAAGCGCTTTACAAATATGAACCAATTAGGCTTCATAATTGCAAGAAATGATTCTCTGATATAGTTTGCAACCAATTTCTTTTGGAAAACAAAAGGTGAATGATCACCCCCCACATCTGCTGCACTACTCCCATGTGTAGGGATCGCTCATGCTTGGGATGCTGCGTATGACCAAACTGGGGGCCATAGTGGGTTTTCTCCTGACCCGTCTCTATTCCTCAGACCGGGAGGCGTGCATCTGGGATCTCGAAGAGCATCAGCAACAGGAGAAACACCAGCTCATCAAGCAGCAGCTGAAGGACCAGTATTTCCTCCAGAGGCACGAGTTGCTCCGGAAGCACGAGAAGGTGAAGAGTTAGTGCCTTCCTACACTAGTACTTGGTGTCCCCAAAAGGGTGTTTCTCTTCCAGGCTGCAAGGAGGGGGTTGGAGGGTGGGTTCGAAGTTAAGGGATTTGGTTATCATTGTGAAAATGGACCAGAATAATGCTTGAATCGGTTGGCTTGCTTGGGATGTATATTCTGTGCTGCATGCGTTTGGATACAAGAAGCAGTTCTGAATTTTGAGGACACTTCTGGCAATGTGTCACTGTCTGATATGTGGAATGGTGGATTCCCAGAGCAGTGAGTGAAGACTGGCACATCTCAGTCAGTTTTGCTTCTTTCCAGCCCTCCTTTGCTTTCACAGTGTGTTCTGTAGCTGCTCTCACCTTTTGTCCCCTTGGAAATGTCACCAGCCACCTCCATGCAACTCCCAGATCTGCTCTTCATCTGTCTTTGGTCTCCTCAGCACTCTCTTCTTGGGCTGAAGTGTCCCTCCTCCTCTGATACCTGTCCCTCTGCCATTGCAGGAAAGGGAGCAAATGCAGCGATACAACCAGCGCATGTTAGAGCAGCTGAAAATTCGGCAGCAGCAGGAGAAAGCCCGGCTCCCCAAAATCCAGCGGAGCGAAGGGAAGACACGCATGGCCATGTACAAGAAGAGCCTTCACATCCACTCCAGCGGGAGTGCATCTGAGCAGAGGGAAAAGATAAAGCAGGTCAGGTCCTGCAAAAGGCATAGGGATTGAGGCTTGGTTTGGGAGTGAAGCACTTCTCCCTAGCAGCAGAAGGGAAGTTGGAAAAAGGCAACAGTTCCCAAATTTCTAACTCGCTGCAGGGAGTCAGAGGTCTTTGCTTTTGTGGCATCAGATGTGTTTTTCAGCACTGCTCCCATCGTGACTCGTGTTGGGAAGCATCCTCGGGGCTTTTCTGTTCTTCCTCATAGCACAAGCTGGCTGGGCTCTTAATTGGCTTGAGAGACCAGAGCAATGCTGCCTACACGGGCACCTGCTTTTCTCTCTTCCAGTTTGCTCAGCAGGAGGAGAAGAGGCAGAAAGCAGAGCGGCTGCACCAGCAGCAGAAGCACGAGACACAGATGAAGGACATGCAGGCCCAGTGTGAGAGCAACACAAACGAGCTCCAGCAGCTGCAGGTACCCATCCGTAATGGCTTGACCTCTCTGTGTGCTGTTTCTGCTCCAGTGCAAGGAGCATAATGTAAGAAGTGGCTGCAGGGGACTGTCAGTGAGCCAGAACTGATGTCCCCCTGTTCTGCCTTGAGAGGTTTTTGTGCTTAAACATGCCCTGGGGCTCAGAGCTCTGAATGCCTCTGGCCGATGCAAGTCCTGTTCAACCATTGGATCAACAGTTCCAGCTGCTTAACGGGTGTTTTGTTTTGTCATCTGTGTTTAGAATGAAAAGTGTCACCTCTTGATGGAGCACGAAACCCAGAAACTTAAGTCCCTGGATGAGAACCACAACCAGCACATGAAGGAGTGGCGGGACAAGCTGAGGCCACGGAAGAAGGTAGTGTCTCCTTGGTGTGAGCAGGGAGGACAGGACAGTGTCCATAGCTCCACAATCTCAAATACATTTCTTATGTACCTTTCCTTCCGCTTTAGGCCCTGGAGGATGAGCTGAACCAAAAGAAGCGCGAGCAGGAGATGTTCTTCAAGCTGAGTGAGGAGGCAGATGGACGGACCCCAGCATCCCCAACCAAGCACGCCAAGTTTGTCCCGTTCAGCTCTGCAGAGAGCTCGTAACGCCCCACAGCTGGCAGGCCACGCTGGTACTTGCTGTGTACTCCTAGGCTGCCAGTGGGCAGTTTGGACTTGGAAGGCTCTCTTGGCTTCTCCTGCTCCCTTGCTTTGTCTGGGATAAACATGGCCTCTGTCCTGCACTGGGGGATGCTGACTGGAAGTTTTGGTGGCTTTTCCAGGAGCTGGCCTGCTGCAAAGCTCCAGAATGGGAAGCCGAGAACTCTTTCTGTGATCATACTTGCACTGTTAGCTGGATGTGTCGCCTTCACGTGAGCCTGGTGCTCACCCGGACATGTTCAGCTCAGACTGAAGCAGTAACTGCTCAGAGCAGGAGAAACAGGCGGTGGCTTTGCCCTCTGCGCAGTGGTTATCAGCCTCTCCCCACTGTGGCTGCGTCTCCTCCCAGTCTTCTGTAAGGACTGGTCTGGGGCAGAGCAGCTTTGCATTGCTTAGCCTAACCTTGGCCTTGTAGCCCTCCAACACTTGCCTTAGATTTGTTCTATCCACTGTGGCCCTTTTTTGCTCAAGGGAGAGACAGTGATAAGGACTCTTTTCCTTGGAGGAGGGAAGGTTGGGTTTTTTCTTTCCTCTTTCTCCCCATACAGACTGCAGAAAGGGGACCAGCTGGATGTCCTTCCAAAGATGTTTCTGCTGCTTCATTTGCCATGATTGCCAGCACCACAGTCCCTCTGGCACTTAGCTAACACTGTCTTATCAGAGACTGGATTATGGCATAATTAAACTGTTCAGCTGGCTGCAGGTTTTGTCTCTTTAAGAAGTGTATGTGTATGTGCAGAGGGGGAGGTTTGTAATGGTGCTCAGTCCTGTGGTGACACAGCAAGGTACCTGTCATAGCTGTGTGCCTTTGGTAAGGAAAAGTGAGGGGCAGAAGGATGTTATTGCCAGAGCTCTCATGATCACACATATGCTTGAGAGGTTTTTTTTTTTAAGTGCTGTATGTGGGTCATCCAGCCTGGCCACTCTGCAGTCAGGGTTATGGGCTGCAAAGCATCATTTGGAAGGAATAAAGGAGTCCTGAAACAAGAGATGCAAGGGAGGAGGAGATGCAAAGACAGGTCATGGTGGCTTGTTACTCTCAGCATTGCTTTTTCCACTGATGTCTCAGGGTGTTCCACAGTTTCTTGGATGATTCTCCTAGCTTTCGGTTTGGAGTCACACCGCAGAGCAGCAGCAGGTCCAGCCCTCTCCTTTCTGCTCCATGGTGATGTGTCTCAGGCTGCTTTCCTCCACCTACACAAGGCAGTGCTTGGCTGAGCTGCTGGGTAGGACCCAGACCTGGGCAGGGGCACAGGGAGCACACTGGGCACCACTTTCTTCTTTACACAGTCAAAAGGTGTAAGGTAGCACTTAAGTTTTTCTCTGTCTTGGTCTCTGGACAACGTCGTTTGTTTTAGGCCTGCTTCCCTAGCGAGAAAAAATGTCTCTGCTTTAAAAAAAATAAGTTATTTTAAAGTCTCTTATGTTGATTCAGAGACATACTGGCATTTCAGGAAAAAGGTGGTAATGTGATGTGCTACACTTCTAGGTACCTAGCTGATGGAGTCAGCCCCCAGATCTTTACCACCTCTTTGTCTGAGGACTGCATTTACTACCTGTTTAGAGTTCATAATGCATATTTATAAGCTTCCTGCAAACTAGCAAGACTGCATCCCTTTGGGCCATTCCAAGTTTCTTCTGAATCCATACCATTAATGTCTCTATTAATAAACACAGCTTAGATGGACATCTAAGGGCTGGGACCCTTTGCAGGCAGACTGCATAGCAGCTTTTCAGTAACGAGCCTGTGCTCCTGGGCAGACTGCCTGTCCCTTCTCCAAAAACATTGACTGTGCCTTTCAGATATTAATTTAATGCCAGGTTGTGAGCTGATGTAAAACGAATGAATGCAGAGGGTTGTTCCCAAACCAAGACAGTGTGCTGGTTTGAGCCTTTTAGCTGCATTAGAAATGTTACTGCAGCCCCAGCAGTTCTGTTCCTGGCCCCACTGGGGTCAGGTTGGAGCTCTTCTATGAAATGGTTGTTGTCACAGAAATCAGTACCCAGTGCCTTTCCGTCCTCGTGTTACGTGTGACTTGCAGAAGGATGTCCTGCAGCACGCTGTTCCCAGCACACCTCCTCCAGCTGAAGGAAGGGCTGTGCAGCCTCTGGCTGCCACCTTCACCGGCCCAGGGAATGTTGGCTCCCTCTGGATATTGTGCAGCCGTGAGGAAGGAGACTACTTCTGGGGGCTTTTAAAGAGCTGATGTGATGCCCCCATGGTAAATCGGTTGTCCCTTTCTCCAGTCCAGCTTGGAGCTAGCAATATGGTTTTGTTTTTTCTAATAGAGGGTAGGAATGGTTTTGTCCCCTGCCCTGTGCCTGTTCCCTCTCTGGGTGTGCCAGGGGCTGTAGCACCACGTGTCCCTCCTAGGAGAGGGCAGGGGAACACATCTGCTGATTGTCATGTTTACAGGGTGGTTATTTTCTTTTCCCCCTTTCAAAAGAGGATGTGGTGGTGTTTCCTGTTCAGAAGTAACTATGAATGAACCCAACTTATTTTTGAAGGGGGGTGGAATGCCATTTTTAAAAATGTGGCTTTGAATAAAGAGGTTTTTTTAATATTTTGTAAAGTGTCCACTATGATGTAAAGATCCCTCTAATAAAATAACAGACTAAGAAACCTGGGCATGTGTCTGATTTCCTGCCTGATCACCAGCTTGGCTTCTAGTCTGGGCTTTGCTGACTTAAACCTCCAGAGCCACCTCTGGCATGTGAACCTTTCAGGGCTGAACTTCCAGCTCTTTAGAGAAAGCTGCTTCAGAAACTCATCTGCTGCAGCTCACGGCAATGACAGCTTTGCTAAGGTGAAACTGGCAGGGTGAAGTGCAGCAGCTGCTGTCTCTGTGGCTGCGTTGTGTGTTAAAGTGGTGCTCGGGTGACCCTGCTTGGGGAAGAGGGAGAATTGCATCCTGTGTGCACGGCTTTTTCTTCTGCAGCTAACAGAAGATACCACTCATCTCCCCACTCTGCCCTCAGCTGAGGAGCTCTTGGATCCTGGAAATGTGTTACGAGGCCGAGGTACAGATCCTGTCTTCCCCTGTCAGTGTGGGGGGACACCTCTGCTTGCTCCCCTGGGCTGCTAAGAAAAGCTCCCACCACTTCTGTAACCGACCACAGGGCCTGTGCGGTCTTCATTTTGTGCTTGGAGATTTTTACCTGCTGGTCTAGTGATGATTTCTTTCATCCAGATGCCCCACTGCAAGCAAGGACACAAAGTGTGGGCCAAGCACAGGACTTCCAAGTCAATCACAAAGCAAGGGCAGCTTTGATCTGAGCCCAGGGACTTGGTAGGGTTTTCCCTTTGTTTTCTGGGAGGTTGCTCTGGAGCCTGCCAACTTCTACCTTGGGTTTCTTGTGGGGAAAAAGATCCCTGGTTAGGTAATATTACAGGCTGTGAGTTCAGATGTGAGGAGGTGAAAGGGAGCGGGAGTTGTTACTGTAAGGTGGTGGTGGTGGGGTTTACATAGCCCTGTGGTGAGAGAAGGACAAGAGCAAAGCATGAGGGTGACTGTCTCATTGCCCCATGAGACATTAAGAAATAAAGTAGCTAAGGACATGTAATTAGCCATCTCCTGTGTTTGCAAGTAGTGGGACTGCACCGTCCCCTGGGACTCACTGGTCAAAAATGGCCTGCCTCAGTGTATCCCAATGCAGCTGAGGATCCTATGGGAGTATTTAACTTCATCTGCATGTCCTTGGCAGAGCCTGAGGGGAGCTTCAAGCATGAGGATACTTACATTTATAAATATGTGTAAAGTACAGTGTATTCCAGAAATAACTGTTATCTACCATCCTGCCCTGACGTAATGCTGAAAACAGAGCAAAAGTAAAAATCTTTCTTAATTTTTAGAAGCAGAGATGACAGCCCTGCGAAGTTCCTGGTGCTGCAGCAGCCATAGCATTCCCAGCTCTCCTCATTACCTCCTCTGCACTGGGCTCCTACGAGCTGCCCAAAGGCTTTTCAGCATTCATGCTATGATGAGGACAATGAAACTCCCCAGGGGAAGAAAAAGCCAGGTAGGCAGGGATAGTCATGGAGCCATGTCCTGTGCCTGGCTGCCTTCTTCCTGTTGCTGCATCTGCTCTCCCTCCCTCACTGCAGGAGCTGAGTGCTGCCATAGGCACTTTCAAAAGTCATCTGCACCTTGTTAAGCCAGATGCTGTTACATGTTCCTCTGCTGCATTGGCCAGTGGTTTAGTTCTCCAAATGCAAAACTTCCCAGGGCTTGAGCAAGCCAGGCCTCTCCAAAGGCTGGTGGCTCTGCCTTGCTGATGGGCTTTGTTGTTGCCCCTCTCTGGGTGGCAGGGACATATTGCCCTGTCACCCCATCTGCCCTCACACGCGCCCCCTGGGACTCCCCTGGGTCTAGTTTCCAGGCTTGCAAAGGATGCAGGGGTGGTGTTTGCTTTTCTTTCCCTTGTTCACTAGATGGCATGCACACTGAAACAGCGGCTCCGGAGTCCGGCTGCCGCCGCACAAGCACAGAGCTGGAGCTGAGCTGGGCCATGGCACCGAAATGTTCACTCGCTCTTTTTCCCGAATTTGTTATTTGCTGTGACACACCTTTCACTGGATCTCTGCTTCTCATCTGTGCTTCAGTATTTTGTTTCCCACTCTAGTGTTGTCCTCAGAAGCTTTCGAGAGTTCCCTTGCCAGGACAGCCTCTTGCTCTTTGAGGGCTGAGCATCCCCTCTGTGGAGTCTGCTTCTCTCTGCGGCCATTCAGGATGGGATGGGTGTCCTCCACACTACAGAACCAGCAATGCTGGGGTCAAAGCAGTGGAAAATCATTCCTGGCAGTAGCTGAGAATCAGGCCAGTCCAGCCCCGGTGATACAGTGGTTAACCACTGCCCTGCTGGGCTTCAGCTGCAAAGATGTGCCCTCTGTTGTGGTAATTTTCCACTAATCTTTGTGAGGGAACTCAAGGAAGATGGATCCATTTGTCCTGTACACAGAGGAGGACTGGGAACATTTTGCCACCTGGCACACACTCATAATTCTTAAATTAAGGAGCA